AAATTTCCCATCGTCCCTCGATCGAATGCACCGGAAGTGATCGGAAGCGACGCGACGGCCACGTGTAGCGCCGGCGAACAACGCGTTAAGTATCGAAGAGACGAGGCGAGGCGAGGCGGATGTAGCGTTGAAAGACAGCGAGTCGTTACTTAATTCCATGCGCTCGCTTAAATAGAACGACTTAGACTTAAGGTAGTCTGCAAAAATGAGGGAACACGCCGTTGTGGGACTTGTTCATACATCCGTATATACATCGATACATACGAGGATAGAGATGGAGAAAGAGAAAGAGAGACGGAGAGAAGTGAAGGTGCTCTCGCGCGCGCACACGCGGATCCCGCGATGTCGGGGGTGCCTACTGGTTTTGATATACGAGCGCACTAATACACGCGTATCGAGCACGCGTGAGTCATATCGAAAACCAGTCTCAGCTGGCGAGAGAAAGGGAGAAAGAGGGAGAAAGAGCGAGAGATGCATACGCATCCATACACCGTCGAGATAGTCGGCGCGAAGCGAGAGAGACCTTTGAATATTTCAAGCGTGTGATGCGTGTGCGTGTGTCGTTACGAAGGCGTGTGAGTAATCTCACCGGTGCGGTGCGCTGCGTGCTCCGGGGATACGCACGTGAGATTAAAACGCGTGTGCGTGCGGTTATTAACGCGCGCGTTGCGTATGTATGTATGTGGACTGGATTTGTTACCCGGTTATTTCGAAATTGTTTTCTGGTTCGAGATGAGGCGATCGATAACGGACATCTTGTCTCATGATGACGGTCACTTTTCATAAAAAGCTCCATTTTTCGTTAATAAGGTCGTACTCCGAAAGGAGGAGCCTTCGGCTGGCCTAAGACCTGGCCGTGACATTTCAATGAGCGCGCCGAACTTTAATCTGCGCGATCTTACAGATATTAACGGGACAGAGAGAATAGTTTGAATGTGTATTGTATATATCCGTTCTATTTCTCTGCCATTACATTTTGATTCAACCTGATATACCGACGTGATTTACAAATGTGCATTCCTATATTACAATAGTAAACCCTTATACAACGTCGCGGAGAAAGTTATTTCATTCTTCATGCTCCTTCGTGTACGAGAGACGAGGTCTCGGGTAAATAATACGCTACCGTGGGATGCGAATTTCGCAGACGCGATTATTGATCGATGCGATCGTGACCGTCGATGCGGATTTCTCCATTTGTTTAAGGAGAATAGCGAGCGTGATTGCTTTGACGAATGATGAAGGGTAATGCGCGAGTAATGGTTTCACTGCGAGAGCGGATAAAATTGCATGTACCGGGATATAAAGGTCGCGCAGTCGACGCAAATACGAAGAAAATGTAGCAAACGTTGTCACACAATAACTTGGACGAAACTAATTCGTTTACAAATTTCTAAATTATTTCAAAAAGAGATCATATTTCTTATTTAAAATAAAATAAAATTATCATACGTTTGCGACTCGAAAAAAATCAAATATGGACAAAACTTTTGCGAGTTTTGACATTTCTGTAATCGTCGAATAAAAAAAGAAATCATTAGCGAATCGATGCGTCCGCAGGAAATTGACAACGAGAGAGAAGCGCAGACGTAAGCAGCGTATCCACCCACGATGTGGCGTACTGTAACGAGGCTACAGTCCATTAAGTGCGTGCGGCTATTATGGCTAATGCATTACGAGGCGATAAAAAACGGGAACTATAGCACGCACACATACATACATCCTCAGATGTGTGCCCTTCGTCGCTCGCGTCTGCGCCCGCGCGCGCACACTCGAGAGAACCGGACCACATTCCATGTCGGACGAGTACGAACTCTCGCTGCCCGCCCGAGTACAAGGCTCGTAGATACGCCGACGACACGCGCGCACTGCAAAACGCATCCGTCTCGATCGGTCCGGACCGGTGACACGCGTCCGATTCTCTCTCGCGAGGAAGCATTTCCTCAAACATTTCGATAATTTTAGACTTTTAATCATCTCGAGCTTTTCTCAGACGCGATATAGAAAAAATGATGATAGGAGACAGACTGCTCCGAGTAAGATTTGTCAAAATGACATCTGGTTTATCTAGGAATCCCGTAAATAAGAAAGGAGGGCGGATGAGAAGGGGAAGACACGACGAGAAGAATGTAGACGCGGAAACGATAGGGTAGCAGCGTGAGGTAAAAAAACGAGACGAGGACGGCAACCCTTTTCTGTTTCCTATATCCCTCCGTACGGAACCACGGAAACTACCTTGGAAATTCGACTCTAAAAATATTCGTCTTATGGAGTTTCTCCGTTTTTTTCGACCGTGCTATTCCCTACTACTCCGACTCTCTTTTTTGTCCTTCTACCCTCGGGAGACGCGCATCAACCATATGGCTTGCGCGCGCGCGCGAGGGAGAGATAAAAAATTCATATTTTCACTGGAAGGGCTGAGACTCTGAACAGTATTTTTAAACTTGGAAGAGTGCTCCGAGAAGGAGATCATTCAACTTTCGTTTGTCCGTCAGATTCCTCCCAAGTTTCCCGAAATCCTTTCCACACCTATAATTAATTATCGAGAAATTAAGAAAAATTATCGCGATGATGAAAAATAATTGTATTACACTTAAAAAATGAAATATTAAAACAAAATTTACGTTTTTAATCTATTCGTTTTTAATCTATTGAAGTAGTAATATAGAGCAAATAGAGATGGAAAAAATGCTGACAATACCTGAAATAAAAAATAGCTTTTCCATTCATCCCCAAGCGATCATCGGCGCGGTAGTCCGTTATTTAAAGGGTTCCTTTAGGCTAATGGTTTTCTCACACGATCCTCGAAACGGTAAAAACCCTTTTCACGGAAATCGAAACCCCTTTGGAAGGCTGTGGCGGGTTCAATCATTGGCACATTACGCAAAATCATGCGGTCCCACCTAGTAGCTTCCGATACCTGGAAACACGATATTTTATTGGTAGATTAAGGCGCGGCCCTTTAAGAAAATGTCATGGTAGGGAAAGAGATGGCGAGAGGACGGGCGAACGTTCTGACCTATTTTCGAAGGGTTTCGCTTCAACCCTTTCGAGACCTAACGGGATGCCGCGACTTTTTTCCCACATTCTACTTTTCCGAAAATCGACTACCTGATCATCAACTGGTTGTTGCGACGTCCAAAATGGGGTCGTTTCATAATACAGGAAAGGGTTAAGAAAGGGCTCACCGTTCTTCCTACTTGAAATTTTGATTAGTTTTGCCGAGCAAAAAATATGGATTCATAATAATTATGCAGGTTGATCATAATGATTATTTTCGTAAAAATAGTTATAACAAATAAAACTACATATTCTCTCTCTTTTTCGTACATATTAATAATAATAATCGTAATTTAAATAACGAGTGAGAAAAATAGATAAAAAAATAGTCTAATTAATAATTTCTTTAATAAATACAATGAATATAATAATACGCGTATTTCCTCTAATAAGAGTAACTTGCGCAATATTTCCGTAAAGCGAGAAAACACGTAATACGGCAGACACATACACAAGTATAAGAATATAGGAATATAAATACAAACGGAACGATAATTGTGATAAATGAGCGCGTTAAAGAAATCAAAAGAGACACGTTCACACGGCGGACTGGTATAATCACGTGAATCAGACCCATTTTCGTTTATGACTCTTTTCAGCTTTAATCATCCTTAATCCCTGTTACAAGCTACCCGCACGATGTAAATAGCTCGGAAACGTCAATCTAAAAATTGGAAGAGATATTAATGTCGCGATGTATCAGAAACATAACGGGAATAATATAACATGTACGAGGAAAGAGAGTTTCTTACGATACTTTGTCATTCTCGTCGGAAAAGTTTTTAACTAAAAGCAGCCTTTTATTCATTCGCGCGATAATAATGTAATATTGAAAATCAATTATTAATTTGTCTTTAGTTTTTAGTTTTATTTATAAAAGAACTATCTATTGTTCTTTCGATCGCATCCAATTTTCGCAACACATAGCATCCCTCGTTTTCTCTCAATTAGCGACATCCCCCACCTACCCCTTGAATAATCGTCGTAACCCCAACGTAACGCATCGGCGATAAGCATCAGCGGCATCGTAAGGGCCTTTGAGGGGGTAAAAAGTGGGAGTGTACTTCGAGGGCACTCGAGTGACGTCATTGGTCGACGGGATCTTCCTGCGAAGAGGGTAGGTAAAGCGGCGATTCTGCGCAGGGGTGGAAAATCTGTTCGCGAATCGTGATGATATATTACATATTACATCTAGCAGAGCGTTTCGTCTTCACGTATCATAAGTTTTTGTCACTCGACACAATGCTGAGCATTATCTAGTAACGCAAGATATACTATATAAATACAGAGAAAGCGATTCTATCATCAATTAAGAATAACGTAACCTCAGTAAATATATTCGTTTCGAGATTTATTTCAGAGGAACGGCTAATATTATCCTAATTTGAAAAGAAAAGTAAATGTCAGAGAGGAGTTTCTTTCAACGATTATTCCGATCGGAATTACCGTCCACTATTCGCAGATTCGCCAAGATGCTCCCAGCCGCGCGTGAGCGGGAGCATCTCGGCGGCGGCTTACAAAGGCGGTGCGCTTGGTTCGCCAGCCGGTGGACGAATGCGAGCGAGAGCGATCGGAAGAAGAGGAAGGAATCGCACGGCAGAGTTCTCTCCGTCTCTTTGCCCCCGTCATCGTCATCACGGCCGTGGTACCGCGACGACGAAACCAACGCGGCGGGAAAGGGGGCGAACGATGCGTACCATCGGGGGTGGGAGGCGGTAGAACATCGGCCGAAGGCGGGGAGAATGCGACACGTCACTATACCCGACGGGGTGGGGCATCCTACGAGCGTTAAACTGGTGGGGACCCCCAAAGTATCCGCGATCTTTCCCTCTCGGTGAAAGAGGGGTCTCAGGTTGAGGAGAGAGAGAGAGAGAGCGGCGTGTTCTCCCCTCCTTCCCCTCCTTTATTCCCCCTCTCCGCCGTCTCTGTCTCTCACCCTTTGGAGGGGTTCAGTCATCTCGCGCCAGCCGAGCCACGCGCACTCTCTCCTCTTTCCGACAATCCGGGGTCTCGTTGGAGAACCACCCCGTGATTCTGGCGACGACGAAAGCGTTAGACTATCGTCGCGAGGGTGGCGTCCATCGTCCGAGGGTTGCGGTGGTGGAAACGCGTGGCGAACTTTGCGGGGGGTACCGAAGAACGAAGGTACGCGAGGAACGAACCGCCCTCTTCGAACATCGGGAGACCACCCCCACTTCTTCCCCCTCTTGAACAAACGCGAGCGCGCGCGCGCGTCCGCGTGCCTCCCTCCTCGTCGCGGGTGCTTAGACAGCCTCGGGAATCGAAGACACACGGGTACCGAGTTTCACGGGTGGAGAATCCGCGCGTGTCCTACGCGATCTCGCCTTCTCTCGACGGGAACGACAGTTTTCGAGTGTCGCGATAACGCGAACCGGAAAAGCTTGTCTTAACTCTGACGTATATTTAATCGGGGACGTGTATTATGTATGCGTAGTGTCGTTATACCGTCAAACTATCATCCCGAGTGAGAACGATCGAGTAGGCATTCTAATCTGACAATTTTCGGAGAAATCGAGGAAATGATGCACGATGAAATCCAACTGTCAAATTAAAATTCGACGGGGGCCGGTTGGGAGGATTGCCAATCGCTGAAGAGACGATGAGAAACTGGAGCGAGAATGCCGGATAATCATTCGAGTGACGGTGTTCAGGGTGGCACGAGAAGTGTCCGATGAGGGTGGAAGTGATCTCAGTGGATTTCGAGGGGGTAAGAGCTGGTGCGTGTTTCGTGTTCCTCGCGAGGCAGAACTCTTTGAAGAAGTCTCGCAGAGCTTCGTGACGATCAGCAAACGAATCGAAGGACTCGAATCGGGATTGTTCGGTGCAAGTGAGCGATTTGGTGCGCGAGCGATATTGAATTGTCACGGTTTTGAAAAGTGAATGGAACTCCTCCTTCCAGGGGGGCGATTAGTGTGAATAATAATCGACAACTGCGATTCGCGAGTCTCATCGATAGAACTATGATGTCGACAGAAGTGATCCGTGGCAGAAACGGAAATATCAACTAAAGAATAAGAGGTAAAGTTTGCTTCCGGTTCTTTTCAATCGATATAGAATTTAATTGACAGGTGACGGAAACTGTTGAAAAATTTCGTAAAATAACATTGATATTTATATATTTCTCACTTATTCTTGTGATACCTTTACAAAAAAAAGTAGAAGAACATTGCTATTTTATGCGATGTACTGGAATACATTTGTAGAAATTTTGTAGTAAGATTTTTCTTTTTCACAATAAAAATTGTGGTATATTATTAATAGAAATTATATTATTATTAGAACAAATTACGAAAACAGTTTACCTCTATCGTGATGTATATTGATTATATTTATCAATCGAATTCGCCTTACAATTTCGCGCTGAGCAAAGTATCGTCACGAAAATTCAGAGATTTCGCTGCTTTCCGCATTCTTCTCCTTTATTTATGTCGCTTATAGTCAACAAACAGTCGTCCATAAACAATATTAGCGACGTTGTGCTTGAATTATGTCTCTCGCCACAATGATGGTTTATTGCTATAAAGTACGTATGTAGTTGGCAGCTTTCTCGTCCCGTTTCTGAGATTTCCGCAATCGCTCTGAATTACATCTCGAGAGAACGAAATTAGCCCGTGGAATTGTTCTCGACGCGATTCCGCGGAATTTTGTCGTAGAAAAATTCACCGGAACGCGCCAACAGAGAATTCGACCGCGGATCAATTTGGCAAAATTTCACACACGACGAGTCGTCCAAATACCGATATTATCTCGTCCCAACTGCACTTTACAGTTTCGCCTGGTGATTTCGAGTTAATAGCTTCGATTTTTCGCTCCCGTGTTATTACATATGTCCTCGATGATGCGTTAATGCGTCGATGTTAAATCGTCCGTATAATACAAACCCTGTTCGAAAATTATCATTCCGACGACATCTCTGGCAGAGAATTCGCGATCTCGATCACTCGACAAATTCCCTCTAGCGAGATTATGTAACTTCCTTTCTTTATTTTTTCTCACGCATACAAGTCATCGTAATAGCTCTACGTTTACTCGACATTTAGCACATTATTCTCATTGCTGCTGTTCGGTAAACGCGTCATGTATTCCGGAACATGCTTTCGCATCCGATGTATTGTATTTAATCAATAATTTGCATTCATAATGTAATTTGTTAGAATAAATGTTACTGTTTCGCGCGATGCAAACATGCAATATTTTGTCTGTGCTCAATATATGTATGTATGTATATTCTCTCTAAGACATATAATATATATTTTATTATTTAATTTTTAAAATTTTTCATTATTTAAATTATGATAAGAAAACAATATTAAGGAACATGTATTAAAACAAAATAATAATAAATTTAAAAATAGTGTAACAAAAATTTTGCGAAAAGAATGATATAATATTAAAAAAGTTTCGCAAAATAATAGATTAAAGAACAAAAAAGAACCAATGAGCGTATCGCAAATAGATAATCCATAAATAATCGAGAGGTAGAGAGCGAAGAGAAAAATGTACGATAGGACAAAAAGGACGAGATAAAGAAATAATCGAGAGGTAGTTGTGCGGATGTGATAAAGAGAGGAGTCGCACAGGGAAGAAATGAAGAAATCAGGAAAGGCGGAATAGGAATGGGTAAAGAAGGAGGATGGAGGACAACCGAGGAATATCGTGTACGTTGATATACGTTGCAAGATATATTGGCAAAAGAAGGAAAGGAGAGAAGCGAAGAACAGAGAGCAAGGGAAGAAAAGGGTCGAGTCTCGAACGGATAAACGCAAACGGTGAGAGAAGTCAGGCGGGGGAGCGAGGGGGAGGAAGAGGGAAGAAAACCACGAAACAATTGGAGGAGCGGAGGCGGCCGCATTTCATGTTGTCTGGCATCGGCTCCCTTTAAAGAGTCTCTTGCTTTTTGTTAGCTCTTCGAAAATTATGATTGTTTGTCCGCGAGATTTACTGCTCGGAGGCTCCCTCGACGCACCGTACGCGTATGTGTGTGTGTGTGTGTGTGTGTGTGTTCATATGTGTACGCGAGTGCGCAAACGCTCTCGAGAGGAGCACCGCGATCTTTCGCTAGGCCGCGAACGGGTTTCCCGAAAGGGAGGAGAGAGATGATGGTCGGGAGGGACGATATAGAAACGTTGGAGGTTTACCGAGAGATTAAAGAATCGAGAATTTACAATGTTCGCGCTACCAAATTGGTGCTCCTTCTCTCTTCCTCTCGCTCGTTAATTTACTCGTCGCGCTATCTCGTCGGATTTATTAAATTAGTCGCTGTTTGGATTAAGAGATTTCACGCTTTGAGCTGGCAAAAAATTCCGCCGAGACCGCTTCAAATAGCGAGACGCAACGCATGAGAATATACACGAATACGTACTTGTCATTTGGATAATTAAACAATTATATTAGAAGCTAATCGAAGAAAATTTCTTTTCGATTTCAGGATATTGCTTACGTACGTGTGATTTTAATCGAATGCATTATACCGTGATTATTTATTCCGTGTAATCAAAGTTAGGTATCTACTGATTATTCATGAACATGCAGTCCATGCATTAATTAATAAGAGCCAAGAGTTATATAATTATAGAAAAAGAAATTGATTTAAATTAAAGAGTAATTTACTAGAAAAATTCTTTTATACATTATACATCGAAGGCGAAGCTAGAGAATTATATTGTATGAGAATCGATTCAAAAACTTTCATCCTTTCACGTTACGAGATTTATGTATCTTCCATTGAACCGCTTTCCATTCTTTGGATTATTACGACTCCCCCCGACTTGGACCGCAACGCATATTCCAGAGAAGACACCTGTTGCCGTATTCGAACTTCCCCGACTTGGAGTCGCGCGACTTTCCCCAGCGCTAAATCGCGCTAAAGACTCTCTTACGGCGCGAATGCATTTTTCGTCCGCCAAGCTACCGAGAGAGACTCGAGAGAGAACATATCCGGCTGATTTATTCGGGATCTTATTGTGGCTGCATGTGGGCCCGGGAACGATGGGCCAACTCTCTCGGACTCCAAGAAGCGATTCCTTCTCCGGCGCGGCGATCGCTCTATAAATTTCACGAGTCTTTCGAACCCTATATTTTCTCGTTATCCTCGCGTTTTGCGCGACACGTTTTATTAAAGTACGATAATTTTACGAGGGTCGGCCGTCCCTCAAGCCTCGCTCGTGCTCTCTTTTTTCTCCTCCACGGTTCGCCGTTCCGCGCCGAGATCAACTTTTTCGCTTTCGTTTACAGTATCTTTGCCCAAATTCGATCCATTTTCCATATCCTTCCCATCTATCATCCTCGATATAACTTTATGCTAATTTTCTTAATTACACGCGAAAATTTTCAGTCATCGCAGTTAAATACACTCGCACGAATGGTGCAAAGTTTTTAAGCGTTTATATTGCGCGTTGATTTTTATCTCATTTTTATCGTATATTAATATATACGATGCTAATTAAGATCATACCGCTGTCGCGATACGACAGCGAAACGCGAAGACGTGACGCGTGATATGTCGATGAAAACGCAGGATGCGATATAATCTTTTGTGCTTTTAATAACGCTTGCACACCATCGGGAATAATATATTCAATTTTATTCGCATGTGGCTTTGTTATCTACGATGCAAATATATGGTGTTAATTATGATGATATCACCGCGTGAAACCTACTTTAAAGTACTCGCTTTTCTTATGTTTAGTACAAATATATATTACGGAGATAAGCTCTAATTAAGACATGCAGGTAAGGTGCAAATTTGTGATGTATTACATGTCGATCGAAAAAAAAAAAAAAAAAAAAAAAAAACATTTTTAATTGCGCATTGCCGGGAAACGTCTTGGTGCATAGTCGTTGACTTCTCGCGCGCATGTATGGTATATCCGAGAAATTGTGCTCGTCCGAGTCAGCTCGGCAGTAAAAGGCCTAAAGTTTTTAATACTTTCAGTTGTTTTTATGGCGGCTGGCATTTGCTCTTTTTTATTGTTTCGTCCTCCTGCCGCTTGTCTCTCTTTCTCTCTTCCTTTTGTCCCTTTCTCTTTCTCACTTTCTCGCCGGAACGCGAACGAGAGTCCGAGAGCGTATCGGAGTAAGAGAGAAAAGAGGAGACTCACAGTCAGCCCTCTCTGATGTACGACTCGGCAGTCCGCGTGAAAAAAATCCCATAAACCAGTAAAAAAGCATGGGGTCTCTGGACTAGAGGAGCCGAGAGGGATGGACGAGGAGAGGACGCGAAGGGAGGGAAAAGGGGTCCCAGTATCGCCAAAGGAATTCCTCTTATGACGAACCACGCGTGATTTTCTTTCGTCTGCTCCCTTCCCACACTCTCTTCACCCTTTCTCTTCTCATCCTCGCTTTACCCGACAGTTCCACGCTGCGTTTCTTCATCTTCGTTTCGACCCTTTCTTTACTTCTTCCTTCCCCTCGCTGCTTCTTCGTCCGATTCTTTCGCGAGTCTTAATCTTTCGCATCTGTCTATCTAATGCCGTCTTAATTAGCCATAGTAATGTCGAAGCGTCTTGATATGTCGAAGGGAAGAGGGAGAAGCGAAGTTCTGCTAACGTAATCTCATCTTGTAACATTTTTTTCAGTGTTAAGCTCTTTTCCGCTTATTATACATATATATATAATGTCAATTTAATTAGATATAAATTTATCTTGCTGCCTACAATATTTGCAACGTCGAAACAATTTTCGCGAGGAGAAGTCGAACGAGGAAAAATTCTCTCAGTTCGAATCGATTATCGTTTAAATAAATACTTTCGATGTTTTTTACCACGTCTCTCTTTCTCTGTACTTTCTTCTTTCTCTTCGCTTTTTCCCGTCTGCTTACAACACCCAGTCATCAAAACGTGCAGTCTCAATGGGTAAATTAAAAAGCAAAGACAAAAGCAGGTCATGTGACAAATGACGGACACATGTGCCATCGTTTCACGTCTATTATTTGTGCCCGCCTCGGAGGTCTACACCCAGGCTGGAAAATATGTTCTCTCTGTCGTCTTAACATACACTCTCCTACGACACATTTGCAT